GGGGGGGTGATTCTCCTGAAAAGCCCGTATTTGACAAACTTTGACTTTGATGAATCAATGACGCCAACTGTTTGTAAAAGGCATAAGAGAATGGTGCAAAAGGGTGAGAGTGATTGAGTGAGTGAGTGAGTGAGTGAGTGAGTGAGTGAGTAAATGTGTGAGTGAGTGAGTGAGTGAGTGAGTGAGTGAGTGAGTGAGTGAGTGAGTGAGTAAATGTGTGAGTGAGTGAGTGGGTGAGTGAGTAAATGTATGAGTGAGTGAGTGGGTGACTGAGTGGGTAAGTAAGTGAAAGAAACAGTAAGTTGGTAATTGAGTGGGTGAGTGAATGGCTGAGTGATGGAGCTTTATAGAGTGAAAGAATGTATGAGATGAGTAAGTGAGTAGGAGAGTAAGTGAGTGAGTGAATGAACCAACAAAAAATTGAACGAGTGAATGAGAAAGCGAGTAATTGAATGAGTGCGTGAATGATTGAGAAATAGAGTTGCGGAAAGTGGGTGAATGTATGAGTGACAGGGCAGATGAAAACAAAAACAAAAAAAAACATAAATAAACAGCAACAACAATAACAAAACAAAACAGCAAAACAAAACAACTACAAAAAAAAACCCCAACCCTCCAGTGTTGTAGAGTGAGCAGCCGAGAGGGAAACTGGAACTGGGTTTCTGACGGGGAAGTGAGTCGTCCGTGTGACTTTGCTCTTTTTGTCGGTGTTTGGTGATTGCTTGTGGTCGAAGAGTGTGTTTGTGTGCGGGGGGGGTGTGTGTGCGTGTGTGTGTGTGTGTGTGTGTGTGTGTGTGTGTGTGTGTGTGTGTGTGTGTGTGTGTGTCTTTTTCTTCTTCTTCTTCTTCTTCTTCTTCTTCTTCTTCTTCTTCTTCTTCTTCTTCTTCTTCTTCTTCTTCTTCTTCTTCTTCTTCTACTTCCTCTTCGTCTTCTTCGTGATGAAAGAAAGTTGAGAAGTTCCCCGCAAGTGAGGATATTCAGTGAATACATAATTAACTACAGTCGGGAGATTTCAGAATCTTTGTGTGAACACGCATGCATGCACGCAAGAATAAACACACGCACGCATAATATATATATACAGAAAAACACTTGCACATTCAAACACACTGACACACACTCAGACACATACACACTCATACAAACACACACACTCACACAC